AAGGTTATTTAGTTTAGTTTTCTGCATAACATAGTGTTTTTTCGGATTTTTTCGAGTTTTTTTTTTTTTTTTTTTTGGCTGGGACCTTCTCCGAACCTTGCACAGGCTGGCCACCGGGGACTCGGGCGGCCCGGCTGGTAGCCTAGTTATTAAATTAAATTATTTTATTATTTTTTAAATTTATTATTTTAATTATTACTCTAGGCTACCAGCCGGGCCGCCCGGGCCCCGGGTGGCCAGCCCGAGCAAGGATCAGGTAAGGTCCCAGCGAAAAAAAAATAAAAAAAAATCCAAAAATTCTGAAAACAAACTATGTTATGCAGAATTATAAACTGAACAACTTTTGCCTCAGGGTCACATCGAAATTCTTCACCAAATTTAAAATAAAAAATAAATTTCAAAAATAATTTATTTATTTATTTTTATTTTAATTATTTTGGCCTGGCCTGGCAAGTGACCCCGGGCCACTCTGGTAGCCTAGTTATTACTGCTTTATTAATTTTTTATTTTATTATATTATATTAATTATAATTTATAATTATTTATTATTATTTTAGTATTATTACCTTTTTATTTTTCTTATTATTGTTTTCTTATTTTTTTAAAATTTTTATTTATTATTTATTATTTTTTAATGTTTTATATTTTATTTTTATTTTCTTATTGTGTGTGTGTGTGTGTGTGCGTGTGTGTAAAATCATAAAATAAACCATGGCAACCCGAATATACGGGAATCTCTTCAGAGCTCCACTCACCTGCAGATCATCCACTTCGTGTTGCCCGTGTATCATACTGACAGATGTCATACCAACACAACATGTAAGCATTCACATATGTACAACAACCGAGAGGGGTACGAGGGAAGAGAGACGAGGGGTGGGGAGCTCTTGATGGTGAAGCCATCAGAAGTCGGTGCAGTGACTAACCAAGGAGGGGTGGCGCAACCCCTAAATTGCACTATCAAGGAGGGGCGGCGCAACCCCTAAATTTTCCTGTTTCTTTTTTGGGGGAATTACACGGGAGTCACAAAAGTGAGTTATAATTGCACTATGGGCCAAGATACAGTTTGCAATTGCACTTTGGGCAATGTATACAACCCAACTTTCTGGCCAGGTAGGGTGCCTGGAGTGCAATTGCAAATGAGTGGGAGAAGTTGATGGAGGGATATCACGTGTCCTAGTAGCGAGGGGGCTAACTAGTAGGATGGAAATAGGGTAAAACAAGAGCGGAAATGGTGGCTCTGCTGCAGTAAGTCTTGCCAGAGTGAGGTAAAGAGGATTGTTGGGGGGGGTCTGAGTTGTTTGTTCTTAGCCGAAACTAGGTAATGACCCTGGTATCTCAAAAAAGGAGGGAAGGGGGGGGGCTAGAACTGGAAGATGGAAGGTAGAAAGGGGGTTCTCAACATAGGAAGGTTGTTTGTTAAGGTAAGTAGGTTAGAAGGACGATGTTGGGATGACACAGGCCGGTGCTGGAGCTTTTGCTCTGTGACCTAGGGTGAGCTTGAGGCCTGCGGAGTCATGCCGAGGGTGGAAGGCATAACCAGACCGTTCGATGTAGCCAGCGTTGAGGTATTAACCCTGTAACCTGTGTCAGGGGTTTGTCACTAAGGGAAATGTCGAGGGAGGAAGGCACTTCCTGTCCGTCAGAACTAGGTTGGTCAGTACTGGGGAAGGTTGTGGTGCCCTGTTACCCTAGCTGAAGGGGGTATGAGATCAAGTGAGTTCTGGTACGAGGACTCAAAGCCTGGACCAACATTCCGTCCGTTGAGGGGGTCAGTTTTTTATAGTAGGCAGTTTCAGTTTTGACCTCCCGCTCTCATATTTTTCCAAGCCTTTTCATATTTTTTCTGAATTTTAGCCTATCTCATGAGGAAAATCTTGAGAATGCCTTAGGATTCTGAGCACCTCTTGCAACTCATTTTAATTTTTTTTTTATGCTTTTTTTTTTTTTTTTTTTTTTTTTTAAGGAAGATAGACAGAGATTGATATTTTGTGCCTCTTCACCCTGTACGGGCGCCATATATACTTGGCCACCTAGCACTTGCTTGATCCCAATAAAAAAATGAAAGAAAGTTGGCGTTGCTATTCCGATTCTGGCATATTTTTTAATGTTGTTATATTCATGGATCTGCGGTTTTTCGATGCCAGAACGAAGTTGGCCAGAGCTGGGGGGTTGCCCTGTAACCAGTTGATAGCAGGAGCGTGAGGCCTTGTCGAGAGATCTGGGGATGCCTTGGGCCAGGCATTCCAAGGGAAAACCAAGGGTTGATGTCGGTACAACGTTGGCCGGAGCTGGGGTGAGTTGTGTTGCCCTGTAACCGAGCAGGATGGGGGCATGAGGCCTGGGAAAGCTCGGCAGGGAATAAGACAGTGTTAGAGAATTTTAGAATGTTTTGTTGGGGATTCCAAGGGTTCAAAGCATTCAAAGGGCTTCTGTGGCTTTCCGTTTTGACTTAGCAAGTGCTGCTTGAGTAGCCTAGCAATAGGTTAGCAGTTATCCATGTTTTTCCTAAATTTTCTAGAATCTTTTTCATAGTTCTCAGATTTTTCTTAGCCCAAACCAGGTAATGGCCCAGGTATTTCAAATCATTTGTATAATTCTATATGGGACGCCGGGCCTGCTTCCCAGCACGTGTTGCTCCCCACGAATAGACTGGAACATTTGTTCTCCCCAACACCCCCCCCCCCCAAAAAAAAAAAAAAAAAAGTGCAATTGCAAACTGTCTCTTGGTCCATAGTGCAATTATAACTCGTTTTTGTGACCCCCGCGAAATAAACATCAATAGAGGACATTGTCTATTTGTCAAGGGATTAGTTCCCAAACCTTTTTTTTTTTTTTTTTTTTTGCAAACACACACCCTCTGCAGTGTTAGCAGTGTTGATAAACCAGACACCACTAACACCCAGGGAGAGGCTCCATCTATTGGTGGGGAGCGTCACCTGCTGGAAAACGGGTCCAGCATCCCATATGCAAAATGAAAACAGAATATAACTGAGAAACTTTCTGCGACCTGCCAGCATTGATTACTTTAGATTCCACAGGATTAACTGTGCAAGTTGTTGAAAAAAAAAAAAAAAAAAGTTCCCCCCTCCTTTTTTCGGAATATACCTGAATGTCTGCAGATCATATCCAAGAAGGTGGTTGAAGAGCTAGCTCCTTCCTCCCTATTCTTGAAATACCCATGTCTCACGCGGCTGATACTGATCACCTTTTAACCCACCTCGAGGTCGGAGGGAGGTACTGGGGGGCACCAGCATTCCTCCTTCCGTTTCCTCACGCATGTGACGCGCAAACCTCACGCCTTGTGATGTCTTCCGTTCGGAGTGTTAGGCAGGCAGAAAGAGGCTCAGAAAAACAGCAAGATGGGGTGTGCCAAGGATTTTTGGAAATTGAGTGTGGGGACACAGATGGAACTGAAATCCCCCGTGTAGGTACAATGTAGCAAGTCGATTAATTTCGCGCGTCGTGGAATGCGCGCGCGGACATGGCGCGAAAACAGAAAGATCCAAATTCAATCCAAAAAGTACTGTCGGGCTTCCCACCGAGCTACGGCCCATCGTTTAGAACGGAAAGGCTTTGGCACGCTTTGCGTGTCTGGTTTTCGTATCAGATCTCATCGTCGTTCGCTGGTCAGTTCCGAGTCCCACGTGGATGGTCTCAGCCGAGTGGCTCTTTCCTTATGCTCGTCCTCACTCCGTATTCGGTAGTGGAAGCCCTTCGCTTCGTAGCGATCGAAACGTTGGCACTCCGTGCACAGAGTGCAGGGCCAATGGGGCACCACTGCCGTCCACGGAATGACAATCAACTCGTTAAACGACAACAATATCGAGTAGGGTGGAAAGTGCGTATCGATAATGACAAATCCAGCGTCTACGAACTCTGAATAACGATCGGCCGGAGGGAAGTAATAGTGCCCGCGGATTTGTGCGACGGCTTCTCGTACGTCCCACTCACATACACGTGTCCTTTCCTCGCTGTAGGGAAAGGGTCGCGTTGGAATGGGAGATACGGGAGGTTGGCGCCCAATTGAAGGGTACTTGTTAGTCCACATGACAATCAATCACAAATATCTTGAGACGTCATTAAAAGCAAAAGCAATACGCGCGACCCTCAATCAACCCTTTTGACACAAGAGCGAGAGCAAACACCCATCCACTTGATCATGCATATGACTAAGGGACCGATCCGCGACTCAGTTCAACACAACGTTGGTCCCTGGCGCCTTTTTTCTCAAGGCCGCCTGGTGGCTTGGCTGCTGATGTCGTGCAGCATAAGGCAGATGGCACGGGGTCGGGAAGTGGTTCGTCACATATGTGACGCGCAGGGGGTTCCAAAATTATGCGATCTCCTGATTGCATGTCATGGCGAAAAAGAAGAGGGGAGAACAGAGTGGTGCATGAGGAACCAAGCGTATCAACAGAGCAGAAAGAAGTACAAGGAACAATAACTGGGCCGTGGATGAGATGGCGACAACATCCGTGGTAAGATCTCTGTAGCCTTGTCATATGCAACCCTCTGCCTCGTGGAGATCGTTCAGGTGACGCCATCATGGTCCACCTGATCTCCGTGTGCTCTGCACCCTTGCTCGTTGCCGTCTGTCGAATCAGAGCGTAGGTTGACGTCATCGTTGATGGGGTGCCGATGAAGGGAGGAGAGAAAAAAGGGGGGGGGGGTTCAAGTGAATGGGATCTACCGCCTAGTTGGAATAGGCCAGTAGAGGCGGTACATGCCAGGGATCTCGTGGGGATGACGGGGGGGGAGTGGGGGTAGGAAGTGATTCATCCCTTCCATCCTCACCGGGAGCTCCTCATATCAGATAATTCGGTGGAAGCGGGGGAAATGATCGCCACTGCAGGGGAGGGAAGCGAGGTAATCGCGACAGAAGGAGGAGAGAGTGCGGAAAAGCGCTGAACAGCAGGAGATGCCAGCAGAATGTGGGAGCAGCGGACTGAAGGGAGACGTGGGGGTGGACGGTGGCGAGTAGACGGGTAGAGTAGAAGTCGCGGAAGAGATGGGGATGGAAAGGATGGGAAGGGAAGGTGACGAGGGTACGGATCTGCTCGAGGGTGAGAAAATCAAGGGGTCGGCGGGGCAGTGTCCGAGGTCGAAGGCCTATCGCCCGCATTGGTACGTGGGCGAACTGGGGGACGGGTGGGGCTGGAGGAGGAGGGGGATCGGCGCCGTCTCCGTTGCGCGGTACTTGAGGTGGCGGCTGCAGGGTCGCCATCTTCGGGCCTCGGCGGCTCTGGATCCCTGGTCAGATCGCTACCGATGCGCAGGCTAGCCTCGCTAGCGAACTCCAGCTGGCGCTTTCCGGAGGCAATCTCTTCGCGCTTTCGTGCCGCTTCCGGATCTTCCGCCCCCGTTCCCGTACACGTCGCTTCCTTCGGCGGGGCTTCCCACCCGGATCCAGTTTCTTCTTCCTCTTCTACTCCTTCGCTCAGCTCGCCCTCGCTATGTTCACTATAGCTTCCCTCCTCCGATGTTTTCTCGTCGTTGTCTTCTTCTTCGTCGTCGTCGTCGATCACCACTTCCTCTGCCCTCGGATAGAAGGCGTGAGGGATGATCCCGTACGGCTTCAGATACTCCTGCCGCCATGGTAGGGTATCCTCGTCCCTAGGTTCCTCCAAGCACGAAGTCCACTGAACGTACGGATCCAAGGATCGCTCGAAAATGTACGGAGCAGGACTGTTGTCGCTCTGAAAGTAGATGTCGGGCGAGAGATCGTCCGCCAATTGCACGATCGGTGCGATGAGCTCCTGTGCAATCAACTGACGACGCCCCGTTCGTACCGATCCAAAGAGGAATCCAATAAGATCTCCTTCCGCGTTAGTCCTCCAACCCTGTATGATCAGCAGCTCAGGATTCTCGATCCACGTGGGGTGCTCGATAGTGCCCGTCCACTTCACTTGTACTCTGGCCAAGCAAAAGGACAGCTCCTCAAAAGTTTCGCGCCACAATCGCCAATGTCCAGGATTGATAAGAGGGACTGAAAGAGGCTCGAACGAGAAGGAAAGAGAAGGGTGAAGATCGGATTACCAGAAGGTGGGGAAGAGAGACGGGAGAGCAAAGATAGAGAGAGGGGCGAGAAAATTGGCGTGGTTCATTGGGGATGGGGGAAGGGGACGAGGGTTGGGATCGCAACTGGCCGCTCGCGCGGTGATCGGCGAATGCCATCAAGGTCCGATGCAAAGATCGAGATGATGTTATACCCCTCCCGGGCGAGGACGTGCTGCCACACGTTGGACACTTGCTCCGTCCACTCGCGCAGCGAGGCCAAGATCGCGGTATGCCGCAGCGGATTGACCGAGCTGATGTCACCGGTGAATGCCGCCATTGTGGTGACGTGGCTCGTTCTGGGACCCGCTCGCCGGTGAACTGCAGTAGCCTCCGTGAACACTATCGCGTGAGGGCTTCCTTCTATCCGAAACGTGGCAGCGATACAGATACCTTCGTCGCAGAAGAATCGCATCAAACGGCGGAGATCCGTATTGAGCCGAGGGTGACAAACTTGCCGGATCTCTGAGATGTGGCCACGTGGCTGCCGCAGCTGTGCGTCGAGAACCCGCTCCGTGATGAAACTCATGGCGAGGTCGGAGAGGAGGACGAGGGAAAAGAGGGAGAAAGAGGAGAGAGGGTTAGATCGTCGTCGTTTTCCTCGCTTTCCGAGGAAGAAGAGGGAGGAAAACCGGAAGGAGGAAGGAGATGGAGGTAGGAGGTATGTCTAACGGTGGGGACAGAGCTATGGCTAGTGCTAGCCTCAGGCGCGATGCGCACCGTGTTAGCGTCGTTGGGTCCGAGTTCGACAACGCGAAAACAGCCAGAGAACTTGGGAGCGAGTTTCCGATCGCGTGCACATTTACGTACCTGCACTAGGTCCCCCAATTTATACTGGTACTGGGGCCCAACATTTCCATTCCGGGCCTCGTAGCTACGGACCTGTCTACCGTAGGCCAGCTCGGTCATCCTTTGTCTTTTTCGGGCTAGCTTTGGAACGGCCCGTTCCATCAAATCGGTGTACCTTTTGGCCTTGGCCTTGAGGGCCGCACGCATGTCTCTACCCCCTACTTCGGCAATTTCCGAGTTACCCCAGTAATCGACACAGGGGAGACTATTAGTTCGAAGCTGAAAGGGAGTGAACCCCGTAGACTCGTGAGGGGTGGACTGGTGGATGCCGGCGATCTGATATACGATTTCGGGCCACGGATGCGTGTCGTGTGCCGCTAAGTTCCTGCGAAGGGCGGTTTTTATCATACGGTTGGCATTCTCGGCCAACCCGTTTGACAGGGACACGTGGAGTGCCGTATGTCGGAGCGTGACGCCCCTTCGCGCAAGCAGTTCCTCTACCTCACCTTTGAATTCCGACCCATTGTCAGTTAGAATTTCTTCCGTATCTAGATGGGTATAGAGGAATCGTTCGATGTATGTGGCTATTTCGGCGGCCTTTCGGGTCTTACAAGGATAGACTTCGATGTATTTGAAAAAATGGTCAATTAAAACTAACAGGATGGAATATTCATAGCGGTTTGGGCCAGGTGGCACGTCAATATCTGTCGTGTCCATACTGACTCGCTGGAAAGGACGCTCTACTTCCGTTGGCACGATCGTGTTTGGTCCCCGTATAGGGGCGCGATCAGCGGCACAGACCAAACAGTTAGCGACAATGTATTTGACATCATCTCGTTTATTGGACCAGAACCATCGGTTCTGGTCTACAGTTGCCTCCGTGACACGCATTGCGAAATGAGCGGCCTGTTCCTCGTGAGCAGATCGGATCCAATCGTATCTCTGGAAGGGATGAGGAACTGTCATCCACGAACCCAACCCGTTAGTTTTACGCTTTTCCAAATGACCGTTGATCCATCGATAGTCCCGAGATCTCTCGGTACCCTACGTCTGTCGTGTTTGGTGAGATGACCCAATGATAATCCCGCTAATTTCGCCAATAAAGTTTTATCCGTCCAGACCTTCACCCGTCGGTATTTTTCGTCGTATTCAGGACCGTCCGTACGGGCGGCCTCGAATCAAACCTCCGTAGGGAGTTTGTTCGTTCTACACAGGGGGCACCTCCATTCCTTGCTACTCGTTCGATATCGAACGAAGGCTCCGTGCGCACGATTGACACACGTGGCGCATTCCACCCAATCGACAAATCTAGTCTTGTAGGGATGACAGTCGACCCCGTAAACCTGTGCAATACAGGTGCAAAAATAAAGAATTTATCGAGGAGGGTGTCGAAGAAAGCTGAGGAAGTAAGAGGGGCAGAATTAGTAAGAGAAGAAGGGGTGGTGGAGGCAGGCGGGGTAGTCATGATGACAGAAGGGGAGAGACGGGACTGAATTGTGGAGAGAGTAGAGTAGGCAAATTAGTCCTCGTGTCACTTACTGCTTCGACAAAATCTCCACTTGGCCGTACCGAGGTCCAATCTTCTGCTCGGGTTCGTTCCACGGAATCACCTCCTCATTCCTCGGAACTTTCTCAGGCCGGTGCAGTCATGTCAGTCCGTCCGCATTCCCGTGTTTCTCGTGCTTTCGATGACGAATGTCAAAGTCCATACTCTACAGCACCGTTGCCCATCGCCCGATCATGCCCGAGTAATCCTTCGACTTCTTCAGAGCCAACAGGGGCTCATGATCAGTCAACAGGGTGAATTTTTGCCCGTATAGGTAAGCACGGGAGTGATTGATTCCCCAGAGAGCCGCATAGCATTCACCCGTTGGAGCGACGTAATTGCGCTTGCAGGCGGGCACTGATTTGGACGCATACTCCACTACACTCTCGAGTCCGCTCGGTCCCACCTGGGCAAGGATCGCCGAGATCGCCTCTGGCTGCCAGTCGGTGATGAGAACAAAAGGTTTTTCGGGATCCGGTCTTATAAGGACCGGAGCCGAAATGAGAGCNAAGGTTTTTCGGGATCCGGTCTTATAAGGACCGGAGCCGAAATGAGAGCAGCCTTGAGTTTGGAAAACGCTTGATCGCACTCCGGTGTCCAGATCAACGGCTGATCCTTGCGCAGCAGATTTGTGAGGGGTCCCGCAATCGCCGCGAAGCCCTTGATAAATCTTCGGTAGTACGAGGCTAGGCCCAGAAAGGCGCGAACTTGCGTAATAGTCGTAGGCACCGGCGCGTCCCTGATAGCTGCCACCTTCTGCGACTCCGGTTGGAGTCCCTTGTCTGTCACCACGTGCCCCAGGAAAGAAATGGTGGTGAGGAAAAACTGACACTTCTCAAGCACCACCTTGAAACGTGCATCTCGTAACGCATGCAGTGCCCATTCGATGTGCTGCACGTGTCCCTCGTAGGAACTCTAATACACTAGGATGTCATCCATGTACACAATCACGCAGTAGTTGATGATGCTCTGTGCCAAACGAGTCTTCCGTACGAAATTCTGAAAAGCCATGTTCATGGCCCGCTGAAAAGTTGCATGGGCATTGCAGATACTCATCGGACATCGAATCCATTGCCACGTACCTTCGAAAAACACAAACGCGGTTTTCGAACGATTTTTCTCTCGGACAAGAAGATGATGGAACTAATGACGAACATCAAAATTGCTGAAAAATCGAGCACTCCCAATCGCATCCAATAACTCACCAATTCGGCGAGGGGATACACATCTTTAGTCGTGATATCATTCAGCTTTCGATAATCAATACAAATACGAATCCCCCCAGCTTTCTTGGGTACTATTACTACAGGAAAAGACCATGGTCCTATAGCGGGTTCAATCCATCCATTAGCTTCGAACTACTTAATCCGCTGAAAGGCGGCCGCTCGTTGAGCTGGCGAGTATCGGTAGGGAGCGCAGCTAATGGGCGGATGATGTCCCGTGAGAATGGCATGTTTAATTACATTAGTTAACCCAATATCTTTGTCATGCACGCTCAGCACTTCTGCGTAACCATTCAATACACAGATTAACGACTTCCGAAGTTCCGCGAGAACGTGACTCGGGATGGGGATCGTCGATTCCCCGGACATATTAAGGAGCATATCGATCCAATCAACTGGCCATTCCCGCCGCTCATGGACATTAGAGAAAACGGAACTACTGGTGCGAACAGAAAAGACAGTTGCTATCATCTGGGACTTAGCGGGGCTGATCATCTCCGTTTCTTTAGTTTCAGCATCACTCTCTGAACCAACCGAAGTCGGTTCCACAGTTAGCCCTGTTAGATCCGTCATTTCTTGCATCAAATTAGGTACATCATTTACTGGTGCTTCCGCTTCTTGTTTAATCAAGGCGATGGTGGCTCCTGTCGTTAATAACGATCGGGGTGGAAAAACAGAAACGTCTAAGTACTGTTTCGTTTGCTGATAACGCGTTCGTAAGGAAAGAACTTCCTCGTACAAGGTGCGAGGGGGTTCCAAATCATCAGCCAGATCGAAAACTTGTAATATGGGTTCCCCGAGGAGGACTGAAGGACTGACCTAGGTTGTTAGAGGCGTGAATGCACTGTCTTCAGAATCCACGTGGAAGCTTCGAGCGGTGTCGGGGCACACTCAAAATTCTTTGGGGGTTTCATGTTCGAAAAGTTCAACCAGATGCTTCCGTTCCTCTTTACTGGGCATCTCTTCTTCATATTCTCGTTCCCTGATTCCATCCCCGAGGCGCGAGGGAGAGCATTCCTCAGGATCAATGTATCGGATCATTCCTATTTGGGCCGGGTTAGGGATCCGCTTTATCGTTCGGGTGGAAACTCGCAAAGGAACAGTTTGAGGTTTTCCCCCGGTTTGTGTGAGTACCAGTTGTCTCGAATCGAAATGCAGATGTGCGCCTACTGCCATCGCCCAAGGTAATCCCAATAACACAGAATAGGAACGTATATCTATTACGAGCGCGTTAACAAGGACGTGTACTCGCCTGAATTTTACAGCCACGTTCTCGATAATGCCTACGATGTTCGTTGCCTCCTCGTCGGCAGAGACATAATTGTCTTCGCCAGATTGAGGAAGAATGGATCCCAATTGTTCCATTTTTTTTCACAGTATCCAATGATATGGCAACGGCAGAAGACCCTGTGTCAATAAGGGCATTAAACGGCTTGCCCCAAACTTCACAGTCACATTCCGCACTTTTTCATAATACCGGCCGAGCTCGTACAAAGTGATTTTTTTCTGCTAAAGAGATCGTTGCTATTCGTGCGGCTTCGGGTTCTTTCGTGTCAGTCTCGGGAGGTGCAACCTCCTCGTTTCCTTCCTTCTTCTTCAACATCCGTTGTATGCGCTGATAGGTGAAGCGCTTTTGATTTTTCTCGCAATGTTGTAGAAGTTTATCGTTCGCTGCTTCAGATATGGTGAGCAGATGTCCTACTTGGATAGGTACACGAATATCTAATTGCTTGAGCGTTTTCAATACATCAATATCTCCTGTCGGAAACTGTGGTCCAAGATTGGACTCGCGATCGACCCACGCGAGATCATCTTGGGCCGATCGCATCGCTCCGATCATTCCGACAAGATGGAGATACTTGAGGGGATCGACCATGTCAGCAGCGTCAGAGGAAGAAGTTCCTGAGGTCGACGCTATTATCGCGGAAGAGGAAGGTTGTTCTGGAGCATACGCTACGAGCTCTCCTCCCTGGTCCGTGTCCATCAGAGCGGTCACTCGTCCTTGATTAAGGGCGACAGGGGCCGCAGCAGGGGGAGGCTGATTACGTTTCGGCTGCGGACAGTCTCGGGCAAAATGCTCGGGCTGTTTGTAGTTGAAACACTCGATCTTTCCTGCCGGATTAGCTAGATGGGGATACTGAGGGGCGAATCCTGGAGCAGGCGGAGCAGGTACGAGCGGAAACGATGCAGGGGCAGGCCGAGCAGGAGATGAATTAGGCTTAATGAGCCTGCTCATTATTTGTTCCATTCGTTCCATATGAGCGGCCTGTATTTGGATCAGGTTGTCCATCCATTCGGACTGCTTAGTAGTAGCCGTGTGAATCATCTAGGCAATGTGTAGATTGGTTACCGCCGGCGAGGAGGGTTCAGATGAAGTTCCGCTTCTAACGGCTGCGATCGATTGATTCACCACGGGAGAGGCAGGACAAGCAGTTGGGATATCGGAAACGATCCCGCCGGGAAGATCATGGTCGGGGCGGGGATAAAACCGTTCGACTGCTTGTAGCCATGATCGCCTTTTGGCCGTTACATCCCGTATGGTATCTGTAATGTCCTCGTGTCCCTGGCTGATATATTTTTTTGTATCAGTCAAGTCTAGCTCCAACGATTTAGTGATGATAGCCGATAACTGGTGTGTTTTCGGTGGAACTTTTTTCTGCAATTTCCCTTTCAGTGTCGGACTTCGTAGGTGATCGATGAACAAATCTCGAGTGGATTTCTCATCCCGCCCGGATTTGTCCAACGTGGTTTGAAACCGATCGACGAAATCGGGCAACAACTCCCCTGGTCCTTGGGGTCGATTTTTGAGCACGTACCAGGCGGCATCTTCACTGACTGTATCGAATCGAGCCAAAAAGGATGTCTTGAAAGTAGCCCAATCTACCCATGTATGTTTCCTAAACTAGGCATGTGACGTGTTGCGGAGTAGCAATGTCAGAACGCAGGGAAGATCGACTGCGCTGTAGTTTTGAGCTTCGACAGCTTCCAGCCAAGCCTCGGGATGGGTATGGTTAGGGAAGAAGGGAAAGGGGGCAGGGATGCTAACAATCACCCTAGTACCGTCCACCATTGGTATTGCTGGTGCAGCCACACTAGACTGAGACCTGATTACGGGGCGATCTCGACGAGCTAGTTGAGGGTCTCTTCTACCTCTCGCCAGTTCGCCTTACTATCATCAGAACCGACACATGTCGGCTCCGATACCAACCTCACGCCCTGTGTTGTCTTCCGTTCGGAGTGTTAGGCAGGCAGAAAGAGGCCCAGAAAAACAGCAAGATGGGGTGTGCCAAGGATTTTTGGAAATTGAGTGTGGGGACACAGATGGAACTGAAATCCCCCGTGTAGGTACGATGTAGCAAGTCGATTAATTTCGCGCGTCGTGCAATGCGCGCGCGGACATGGCGCAAAAACAGAAAGATCCAAATTCAATCCAAAAAGTACTGTCGGGCTTCCCACCGAGCTACGGCCCATCGTTTAGAACGGAAAGGCTTTGACACGCTTTGTGTGTCTCGTTTTCGTATCAGATCTCGTCGTCGTTCGCTGGTCAGTTCCGAGTCCGACGTGGATGGTCTCAGCCGAGTGGCTCTTTCCTTATGCTCGTCCTCACTCCGTATTCGGTAGTGGAAGCCCTTCGCTTCGTAGCGATCGAAACGTTGGCACTCCGTGCACAGAGTGCAGGGCCAATGGGGCACCACTGCCGTCCACGGAATGACAATCAACTCGTTAAACGACAACAATATCGAGTAGGGTGGAAAGTGCGTATCGATAATGACAAATCYRGCGTCTACGAACYCTGAAYAACGATCGRCCGGAGGGAAGTAATAGTGCCCGCCGATTTGTGCGACGGCTTCTCGTACGTCCCACCCACATACACGTGTCCTTTCCTCGCTATAGGGAAAGGGTCGCGTTGGAATGGGAGATACGGGAGGCTGGCGCCCAATTGAAGGGTACTTGTTAGTCCACATGACAATCAATCACAAATATCCCGAGAGGTCATTAAAAGCAGAAGCGATTCGCGCGACCCTCAATCAACCCTTTTGACACAAGAGCGAGAGCAAACACACATCCACTTGATCATGCATATGACTAAGGGACTGATCCGCGACTTAGTTCAACACAACGTTGGTCCCTGGCGCCTTGTTTCTCAAGGCTGCCCGGTGGCTTGGCTGCTGATGTCGTGCAGCATAAGGCAGATGGCATGCTTAGTGCATTCGGAGCAACAAATCTAAACACTCTTTGCATTCTCGAACAAACTCCCGGCGACAATCGTCTAATCAACACGAAAAAAGTCACACATTTCCATACGTGCCTTCACTGTGGAAGGTGCGAAAATGAGACATGCACAGGAAAAGATGGATCGCATTGCACAGTACACACGCATCCACCATTCACAAGACAAGAAGACAGGATCCTTGCGTAAGAGGATTACCTAGGAAACTAATGAAAGAGTTCCGGAAGAAGTTCTTTCACACAGAAACAGGATGCCGACTCATTCCAATTCAATAGAGGGACAATTATTCAGATGCATCGTCTTTCGAGAAGAAAGAGAGAGAGAGAGAGAGTCGAGGGAAAAAAAGTCCAAAATAGAAGATGACAAGGTCCAGGAAAAGAAAAGTCCGGCGTTACCGCTGTACACTTACGCCAAAGATAACAATCCGCAACAAGGGCGCATTTGCCGTTAATTCCAATATGGCCCCGGGCCAATCAACTCCACATCGATCCTCATACCCGCACCTACGATCCCGGCTGTCGCGTGCTAACTCCCACCACTACGATCGTCACCCCGCTGTCGTAAACTCGACACGGTTCACCCAGAGCCCACAGTCCGTCGTGGCGATCCAGCGCGCAACCGGCCAGTCTATCGTCAGCCCGACAGGACTTTCTGACTCGCTTCAAACACTCTGCCTAGCCAATGCTTCCCGGAAACTGGCTTGAGAGTCGAGAACGTAAGAGAGATTTGCGGACGCGCTTGCGGGTTTATAGTTGTGACAAGGGAGATAGAAGGGGGAGAAGGCGACAGAAAAGCTGAGGTGTAAAAGGAGAAGCAGGAGGAGAAGACTTTGAGAAGAGTGCTCTACGAACGCCATGCTGATCCCTCGGAACTCAAGGTTCAACCAATGAGATTCGTCGCGCGATAGGAAGGTCCTATCGATCCACGCACCTGACTGGCGAGCGGGAGTTATCGGGGGATCGATCGGGCGTCGTATGCCAGACGTAGAGGGTGAGAAGAGAAAAGGCGCGAGAGGTGGCGCAAGACGGGTCCAAGATTCAGATGATCAAGAAAGGGAAATGGGCGCGCGAAAGCAAGGCGGGAGAGAGAGAGAGGGAGACGGAAAAACAGTTACGGGGAGAGAGAAAAAGGAGGGAGAAGGGAAGGGAGGCGCGAGAGGGAGCGATGCGGGGGACAGAGAGGAGGAAGCTTTTGCATGCACGGCGCCGTCAACAAAAAAAGAAAAAAAGGCACCGAAACAGTTACAGCTTGATTCTATCAAAATTCAAAATTGAAATCACCATATCCGCGCGCAAAAAAGCGACGCGGGAAAAGAAAATCCTACGCCTATTCGTATTCACGCAAAATCCCGAGAGTTTTCCCCGATGCGCCCAAGAACATTCACCCGCTTATCCCGGAATTCCCAACTACCAAGCCCAATTCTCAGTGCGCTCGCTAAGGCGCACGTAAATTCCCATGTATTTCCCGACTTTGTAAAAAAAAAAAACAGAACTCAGCAGTCGAAAAAGCTTTCAAAAAGGAAAATGCGGCACCCGAAAGCAAGAAATCAAAACGGGGTTTTCCTGGGGTTGGTATGATATAAACAAAAGAAAGGGTACGGGAGATGGCACGGGGTCGGGAAGTGGTTTGTCGCACGCACCCCGGGTTTTGTTTCGAGGTTGTCTTCGTAGACCAGAACTTCCGTTAGAGAGAGGGCATGGGGAGGGAAGGGATCTGGGAAATCAGTGGGGGGGGCGCAAAGGGAAAAAGGGTTCCATCTGGGTCCAGTCATTGAACTCTAGTCTATAATCCCTCATTTCTTCTACCCCCTGCTGCCCACTTATCCTATCCCCGCTCCATGAAACCTTTGCTATCCATCCTTCCCTTTCTGCACCCAACCATTTTGTGCAGAATGTTGTAATTACCCTCCGAACGTCCGTGATTTGCGTGAAAAAGTCCAGCTGAGTCTTGATGTCAGACCATCTTTGCGTCAAAGACAACTGTACCTGTTGTTTGATCTATTCTGTAATTTCCTCCTCTTCTACCCTTACCTTGTCCCAGGCCAGAACGCACCTCTGCCACCAAAGAGCCCACATCACCGCCTTTCTGCCCCTCCCCTACATATTCTCAACAAATTTCAACCCCTCCCCTACCAACGGCCATTGACCAACCAGAATAGCTCGCCACGACCATGGCCAGGGGACCTCTATCCCCATCTTCCGCTAAATACGGTCTCACCATCACCACGTAAATTGGGCTATTGGACATTGCATAAAGATGTGCTCAATGGTCTCTGTCCTCTTCTAGGAGGGGAACATATTCTGACATCGCTGACACCATGGCAGTGCCAGACCCTGCTGCTCTAGGTTGGTACGATCGATTAACCAGTCATTTGTAGGCTTTGCCACTGCAAAGAGGATTTTTTTTCTGGTTTAGACTTCTGATCTTTGAACCAGTGAATTGGTGTCAGCAGGGAGCGATCCAATTTAGTTGTTTGGCCCAGCGATCCATAATTACATCCCTCAGGTGACATTTAGGCCTAATCAACCTATAGGCAGACTTGACTGTCAATCGGTGGAGGGTTAAGGGACCTATTGTATCCTCCCTCCTTTTTTGGGGGTGTACCCAAAGCCATTTTGCTGGGTCCAGGGCCAAATCCTGAATGGCCCATTGTGGTTGATAGGGTACCTTTTCCTTTCTCTCTTCCATAACCCCGACCCGATATACCAGCGTCTTTGCTACCCACTCAAAAGGAGCTCTGCTTCCTTCGAGGGTCCCCTTTCTTGTAATGGCATAGTATTCCACCAGGATCATTGGTGGGTCTACCATATGTATCTGACCAAGTTGTAGTGGAATCTCCTTGGTCGCCACCCAGTCCCCCTCCTTGAGGGAGGGTCCTCTTTTGAGGATACGATACCATGCCAGCGGAATGGTAGCGATGAGATCTTCCAAGTTCTTCTCCACATGATGGCAATAACGCAGAGTGCCCCGCATTTGGTCCACCGTTTTCCAATCCCGTGTCTCCTGATCCCAAAGGTCCCCTACTCTGAGCACTCCATGTTTAACCCAGCTCTTCCACGGCAGGGTGGAGCTCGACCTGATACAGCCCCTCTGGTCCGTCAACCAACGGTTTCCAAACAACGGTTGGCGAAAGACTTCT